TTTCCTCATTACAATGATGTGAGCAGCACTCCCATTTGTTTGTTTGTTTTTTGGGTTTTCAAGACAGGGTGTCGACAGGCTGGCTCTCTGATTTGTAAAAGGACCTGTATTGGATTATATAACTGCCCAGAAATGCACACACAGATATACCTAGCACGTCACTTCACAGCTAGCAAAAACACTGGTGGCACAGGGTGGCCCAGGGCAGAGACCTGAAGCACAGGGGATATAGAATTTGTACCCTTAGGGACTTCTATCTTTTGTATGCTCTGGTTGATAACTTTCCTTTGTTAAGGACATTCTGCTAACTGGAGGCGAACACACACTTTTAGAACATGAGTCTGGTAGGACTCTAAAGTTGGCTGACGAATTACAAACAAAAACAATTCATTGTTTTTAAATGTCCCAGGAGCCTGAGAACAAAGGTGACCACTCGAAGGTGCGTATCTTCACTTCTCCGTGCATGATTCAAGAGCATCAGGAGACCCTAAAGCGACTGTCTGAAGTTTGGCAAAAGGTCTCTGAGCAGGATGACCTAATCCAGGAGCTTCGGAACAAACTGGCCTGCAGCAATGCTTTGGTATGAGCCTCTCTTTAGAACATTGTCCTAACAGCCTCCCCACAGCGCCATGAGAAAGGGAGTCAACTAATCCCTTTAATCAAGACTCCTGAAATAGCATATAAATTTGTCCCTGCCTCTTGCTCATCTTTTTTGTGGCATGTGTGTCCCCATTGATTTGACTTCAATATTCTAAAGATTCATAGCACACACAAATTTCATGTTCTTTATTTTTTTTAAGGGCTCATACTTTCACACACTCCACACGCTGACTCTTGGCCAACAGTACATTAGGCACATGTCTCCATCGCAGCCTCCCAAAAGCCTGCTTCATAGAGCTGACCCTCATTAAGCAGCCAGTTCAAAAAGGTCCAAAATGTAACCCTTCAGTGTGCCTTAGACAACCCTGACGTAAGATTTCAAACACACTTCCTTCTCCATCCTGACCTGTGGGAAGGGCACAGTGAGCTATCTAAGTATACCACCAATCTATGCTGCAGAGAGGAACGCCCTGCAAAAACAGTAACACAAGCATGCGCGTGCATGTGTGTGCATATGTGTGTGCTCGTGTGTGAGCGTGTGTGCACGTGTGCGTGTGTGCGTGTGCGTGTGTGCGTGTGTGTGTGTGTGTGTGTGTGTGTGTGTGTGTGTGTGTTATTCACCACTCATTCTGACTGACCTGTGTCCACTCGCAGGTTCTGGAGCGTGAGGAGGCTTTGATTAAACTACAAGCTGACTTCGCTTCTTATACAGCCACCCACAGGCATCCCCCTACCTCCTCAGAAGACTGCGAGGACATCAAAAAGGTGACATTCCTTGGCTGAGGAAGTTTGCTTCCGGATTTCCTTGATTATTTTTTATGTTGATACCATGGTTTGTAAGTGTTCTGTATTTGTGTGACCTTAGCCAGCCTTGCCAAAAGTATACTACTGTGCATAATGTACTCCAGCCCCAAAGACGGCAGCAGCAAGATAGTACTCCTGGTGGCTTGATAGACTCAGAAAAACTCTACAAACTTCTAGGACCTGTCTAGAGTTGAAAGGAACAAGCATGGAGGAAATTATCAATACAAATTCATTAGTTTGGTTTTTTTTTTAATTCTGTAACTTTGAAGCAGTATCAGAACTTGACCTAGAGAAATGACTCAACAGTTAAGAGCACCCAGGCTCCAAAGGCCCTGAGTGTAGTTCCCAGCACCCATATCAGACGGCTCATAACCTGCAGTAATTTCTGCTGTAAGAATGCCTGCCACTTCCACCCTCCATGGACGCTGGCACTCACATGCACTTATCACACACAAACCACATGCATACACGTAAAATATTTTTAGAGTAGCATCACAAGTTAGTTCTAATAATAAATAAGCAGTTAAGCCATGTCAACACAGAGCAAGCTTTGGTGAGCTGGTAGTCAAAACATAGGCCCCATACATAGACGAGCTCTTAAGTCTATCATGCCAAACATGAGGTCCATAAAAAAGCCTTCTTGGATAACACACTGTGGAGAAGGTAATCAAGCCTGCCTAGGCCTGGGTGGAGATGAGGTATGCAGTGGGAACAGAGAAGGAGCTGAGAAAGGAAAAAACACACATAAGTTCCACAAAGGGACCTCTAGTAGGCAGGCTGACTTCAGGAATTTCCAGGCCCAGAAAGTCAGAGATGACTGTGGCATGGATACTGAACTTGGAAGATCATCCTTGGGATTATGAATGTCATCACTATTTGTTTAAATGGTGGTGTTCACATCCTCACCAATAACACCTTCTGTTGTGTGACAAGACTTTTCCTGTAGAGACACAATACATATCTACTCACCTAAGAGAGGCAACCAATGACAGGCCAAAGTACAGATACCACCAAAGTCCAACCTGGTGAACGAATGAGTTTTATTGGGGCTACTTACAGGAGTATTGGTGAGGGGTTACTTACAGGAGCAGAAACGACTCAAAGACAGCTGCATCATCAAAGCCCACCCTAAGCATGTGAGGTGTGACACCTCACAAAAGCTGGGAACATGGAACACACTACATAGCCTGCGAGCAGCTCAACAGTTTAGAGTGTCCTTTCCAAGGGACTCAGTTGATCTAAACATCTACATGGCTCAGCTGGTTTCTGCTTCTTTCAGGCAGCTGGTCTGGTCTCAGGGCTATTTTACAGCTTGCCCTGTCCAAGAGTGAGTGACTCTCAGCAGCCTTTTTTACTTACTCCAGCAGGAAGGGGCCTAGTGAATCTGGTCAGTTTCAGGGACTTCCTGAAGCCCTTTTGAGTTGTTTGCCTTCTGTCTTGAGCTTCTCTGCAGAATAAAATGTTTCAATCTCGAGGAAACAGCTACACAACATCATCTCATCAATGGCCACTTTTAAATGAGTCCAGCCTCTCCAATAAGTGTACACCTGTGTGTTATTTTGTTTCTCACTGTGCTCAAACACCTTAATGGAGAAAACGATTATTTTGGATCATTTTGAGGATACAGCCCATCAAGGCAGTGAAGTCACGGTGACAGGAACATGAGGTGGCTGGTCATATTGCATCCATAGTCAGGAAGCAGAGAGAGATGAATGTTGGTGTTCAGCTTGCTTTTCCTTTTCATTCACTCCCGGGACCCCAGCCCAACATTCACAGTGGGTCTTCCATCTTAATTGAACCCTTCTGAAAACACTCTCATAGACACACCTGGGGTGTGAAAATCTTGTCCTGTTCAGAATAAAGCACCACACATCAGCTTCTCCCAGAAACCTCCCTCCCACAGCCTGCTGTGAGCCTTTGAGCCCTGCAGTGTCCACACAGGGTGACTGTCCTGCATTTCTCCAGCTGTCACCTCTGTCTTTATGCTGCAACTGTCCTTCCTGTTGACTTCAAAGTCACATAATAAATGCCTCAACACCCCGGATGCCAGGCAGTCCATTTCCGTCCCTCAGCCCCATGCCCTGCCTCCTTGACACTGGGAAAGCATTGAGTTCTGCAGAATGAAAGGATGTATATGAAGAAACTCTGAGCCCAGCACAGTGGAAGGAGCCAGGGCTTCTCATCTCCCACCACTCTCCCCTCACTTCTCCCATTCTGACCCCTCTGGCCTCCTCCTGGGCCTCCATCTAGTTCCTTGTCCATAGCCAGTGTCTCCGCATCAAAGCTTTGCCATAATATTTCAGCATGCCTTCCCTTCACCCTTCCACAGTAGGTGAGGCCAGCCGACTATCCTATTTGCAGCACCCACTCTGCCCAGCACACCCTGCATCTCTACTTCCATGCTCACTTTGCTCTGTAGTACCTTCCATATCCCTCATCAACTTTCCTTAGGTCACTATTATCACTGTCTCACTCTGCTAAAGACCAGCTTCCCTGGGCAAAGGTTTGTGTCTGTGTGCTGTGCACCACTGTTCCTAGTACCTCGGATGGTTTCTAGCTGTATGCTCATTTAGAGTTTGTTGCAGGGAGGACATTGTGTGGGATCATGATAAGTCTTCCATTTCCTTTAAAATTAATTCTTTTAAAACATCTGTCAGACTGAGACGTAATTGATAAAACACAAAATTTCACCCCTGGTTGCTAGTATGTTCACATGGTTAGGCATCAATCACTATTGTCCAAGTCTAAAATATTTTCATCACCCTGAGGATCTCATACCAGCAGCAGTCTTTCTCCATGCCCTCACCAGCTTCTGATACCCTCTTCTCTGCCGTCTGTCTCCAGGTGGTTGTACTATGGACATTTTGCCTTTAAGAAAGCAGCCTTCTGGCGGTTAAAGAGATGCTTAAGTCAGTAAAGTGCTTGCTATGAAAGCATAGGCCCCTGAGTTTGGACCCCCTGCCCCCTACCAGCACTCATGTGACTGAATATGGAATTACCTGTCTGATCCCAGAACTAGGAAAGCAGAGAAAGGCTGATCCTGGGAACCAGTCTAGCAAAGTGGGTGAGGTTAAGTGAGAGACCCTGCCTCAAAAAATTAAGGTGGAGAATGATTGAGGAAGACACTCAAATCAACCTCTGGCTCTCACACACACACACACACACACACACACACACACACACACACACACACACGCACATGCCTCTGTGCATATACTTACACATGCACAGTAAATAAATAGAAAGTGTAGGAAGAAGGGAGGGAGGGAGGGAGGGAGGAAAGTTCCTTTGTGCTCTCATCCTGCTCTTCTTCCTTCCACACTCAGATCCTGAAGCACCTGCAGGAGCAGAAAGACAGCCAATGCCTGCACGTGGAGGAGTACCAGAACCTTGTGAAGGACCTGCGCATGGAGCTGGAAGCCGTGTCAGAGCAGAAGAAAAACATCATGAAGGGTAAACAGGACTGCGAGCCACAGCTGGGAAGCAGGAGGGCACCGGGCCTCTGACGGGTAAGCAGTGTTGTCTTACCCACACTAGACATGATGAAGCTGGAACTGGACCTACACAGGCTGCGGGAGGAAGCATCAGCATGCATTGAGAAGAAAGACAAGGAGATTGTCATCTTGCAGCACCGGCTGCAGGACCTGCAGCAGCAGTACACAGAGACACAGAAGCTGGCCCTAAAGAAGGAGAAGGTGAGCTGCCACTCTCTGGGTCTCTGGGTCTTTTTTGGAACAGCCAAGGGGACAAGGCCTGGGCAGGGCCTGGGCAGGAGCTTCTCTGCCTACTATGGCTGTTGTGGAAGTCTCATGGGCACACATGGGCCAAGGGCTCCTCAGGCCAGGCACCACTCACAGAACTTCTTTAGTATTTCTAACAAGGGAGAACTGAGTATGAAGCTTGGCAGAGTGGTGCGTGCCTGTAATCCCAGAATTTGGGAAGTTGAGGCAGGAAGATTACAAGTTCAAAGCTGGCCTAGGCTCCATAATGATTCTCTGTCTCAAAAACAAATCACACACACACACACACACACACACACACACACACAAATTCACAACTATCATTGGCATACATAAATCACAGAGTGTGAAATGTTAGTGGAGCCCTGCTGTAGCATATAAGGTCTATACTTGCAATTATAAATGTGTTCCTAGAAAAACCTAGAACCAGAGCCAAGAACAGAAAGATGGTGAAACCAGTGCAAGCCTTTATGGTCAGTACCATCCAAACCCTGTCCTCTCCTTAGTTAATTTCCAGTCATTAAAACCTCATTTTGCTGGGTGGTGGTGGCACACACCTTTAATCCCAGCACTCAGGAGGCAGAGGCAGGCAGATCTCTGTGAGTTCAAGACCAGCCTGGTCTATAGTGTGAGCTCTAGGACAGGCTCAAAAGCTACACAGAGAAACCCTGTCTCAAAAAAAAGTAAACAAAACAACAACAACAACAACAAAATACCTTCTCACTTTAAAATAAGGCTGAAACCCACCAGGCAAAATAGAAGCATCTAGAGAAGTGGAGCATAAAAGAGAAAAGATTCTGTAGACTCTGGCTTTGTCATCAGTGTGTTCATGCAGCACTCTTGAGTGCCTATGATATGCCAAACACTGTCCTACACACTAAGACACATGTCAACAAAACACACAGTGGCCCCATCCTCATGGAGCTCACATCGTAGAATAGGGGGATGGGTACGGGGGGGGGGCCGCGGGCTTGTAACATAGTTAACATGTGACTCCGACAGAGTGGTGGCAGAGTCTGAAGAAGTCCTGAAACAGCTTGGTAGCTGGGCTGAATTGGAGGGCCTCCCTGATCACATGACCCTTGGCAGAGATTTGAATTCAGTGAGAGAACCCTTAGATTGGTCCCATTGTGTAATGACTAACACTCAGAGTGAGCTGAAGGCAGGGGTTTTGAGGAAGAATGGTCCAGACGGAGGGCACAGCAAGCACAAAGACCCTCCAGATGAGATGCAGGAGGCTAGCTGAAGCTGACACAGGTAGGGGTTCCTGGATACCAGGACAGACTGGTAGCCTCGGTAGGACCAGATCATGAACCTCTTGAGAGATGGCTGTGAAGACTTGGGCCTTTTTCTAAGTAAGGCCAAAGCCAGAAAGAGGGTTTTGCACACAGGCAGCTCTGGATTGCACTCTGAAAGGGTCCCTCTGGCTACTGCAGTGAGACCAGCCTGAGGGATCCAAAAATGGTTGCAGAGTGGACAGGTAGAAGGTTCTTGGGATATCCCAGCAAGGCATGCCAGCTCAGTTGCGTTGCTTAGGCCTCTCCCAGTATCCCTTCTTTGACATCCACAGCTGCTCCAAGACAAGGATGAGAGGCTAAATGAGATAGAGAAGAAGCTGACACAGGTACAGAACACCCTCATGGAGAAAGAGCTGGAGACGGAGAAGCTACAGTGGGTGACAAAAGACCTCGAGGCACGTGTCCAGGAGGCAAAGCAGGACACATGCAAAGCGGATTATGAGATCCTGCGGGTCGAGGCCCAGAAACTAAAGGAAACTCTTGAGGAGACCAAAGAGCAGCTAAAGTTGTCAGGTGAGACCCAGGCTCTACACCCAGCCACATCCAAGGTCTTACTCCACACCCCATGACTTCATCTTGTATCTCCCAGCAGTTCCCTCAACTCTCCTGAACCTCCAAGCTCACATGCCCTCTGAAGCCCCTGCTAACAGACTCCTGCCCCCATCATTCCCTCAGCCACCTTAGACGAATGCTCCAGTCCATCCAGACAGCAGAGAGGATGGGGCTGGGCATGGGCTTCCTGGCATCACACTATCACTCTGTGTTCTCCCCAAGCCTTCACCATACATTTTGTTTTTCCCTCCCTGGTTTTCGATCCCACTCCCCTCCTTTTTGCTTCCAAACATGTTCCGTGCTGGGATCTTGTCCTCGCCTCTCTGAGGAAACGGCTTTTTCAGCTCAGTAGTCTCTTCTTGCCTTGGGTTCAGAAGGGTTTCTTGGGGGATGATGACAATGTCTAACTTGGCTGATAGATATACAACTTTGTGAGCTCATTAAAACCCACTGCATTAGCCACTCTAAATCAGCACATTCAATGCTGGGTGAAAGGGCTATCAATATAGAAAGAAGATCCACGGCTTGGCTCCTCTCTCCTCAGCTCTGTCCTGACAACTGTAGCTACCAACCCCAGTCCTCAGCTTTGTAGACACTGGCTCTCAATCCAACACAGATCTCACAAGTGTTTCCTGATGCTGGAGTTTCTTTCCATCCTAGTCCCACAGCCAATTCACCCCAAATAAACGCACTATGCTATATTAATTATAAAACTGTTGGTTGATGGCTAGGGCTTCATACTGGCTAGCTTTCTCTTAATTACTATCCCATAACTACTAATCTATGTATTTCTTCATGGTCTTATCTTACCAGAGAATGCCTGGTGAGTCCTATCTTCCTGGTCTCTACACAGCATCTATCCACGGCCTCTCTCTGCCTTCCTCTCCCCAGCCTTCTCCTGGTCTCATAGCCCTACCTATCTTCTGGCCTGGCTATTGACCAATCAGTGTTTTATTCATCAACCAACAAGAGAAACATATATACAGAAGGACTTCCCCCATCATCTCCTCTTTTCTGTCTAAATAAAAAGAAAGGTTTTAACTTTAACATAGTAAAAGTATATATAACAGAACAATTATCAAGCAAGAACTAAGTTAACAATATTTAGTCCATTAACACTTGGCAGAATTTAAAGAAAATATTCTATTATCTATCCTATCTTTATGAGTCTAAAGTTTTATATGTAACTTATTTTTATCATAACTAAGGAAAACCATAACCATAACTATCTGTCTTCAACTCCATCAAAGACCTCAGAAGGATAATATATAAACTCTAGAATTGACAGCAGAGACATCACCTGAAGTTCTGTAATGTTGGAGCATCCATCTTCAGCCCATAGGCCATAGTGTATCTGGCAGACTTCTCAGTGAAGTAAGAAAGTTTAAACTGTCCACCTGTATTGGCAATTTGTCAGTCATTTTTCTCTGCATCCTGCAGAATGTCTGGCAGACTCTTCCATGAAGCAGGAACCCTACAGGATTGTCCCCTCTTGTTTTGGTAAATTCAGCAGTCACTTTCCTGTGGGTCCTGCATGTCTAGTTTATACAGCATACAAACAGTCCAGGCAAGAGCAATTTCTTACCCAAATGGCTATTTCTGCCATGTTGAAGGCAAACTCCATAATGAGTTTCTTCCTCTCTGAAGTAATTGGTGTTGCCAGGAGCAGTTGTGTCTCACTGTCATGAAAAACCCTAAACCATTTTAAATTCCATATTCTATAGGTCTTTGAAAGGTTTGAAGGATATCTATCCATCTCAAATATATCTCCGTATATCTAGAAAACTTAACTAACATAACTATAAGTTTTGATTATTATAGGTGACTATATATAATCTTTATTTAATTATACATTATATTTTAATGCTCTGTATAAACATAATACCTAAACAAGAGAAGAAATACACATATAACAAAATTGACCTTAAATTTGTATCAATAAACCAAAATCCATACCAAAGCAAAGTACTCATTTCTATATCATATTCCCTTTTTTTCATTTAAAAAGAAATCGGCTGTGATCATTAAACATTTATAACCAATCCCATTTAAACGAAAACAAACATTTATAAACAATATTTAGGAATTTGGGAATCATTCTCTCAAAACTGCTTCCTGCTCTTTGGGGGTGCTGTCAATACCATGGCATACTGAGAAAACTCAGCAACCTGGCCAAATCCTGGCTGTAGTAGTCTGCAAGGCTACTGGGCCTCGCTTCAGGGCCACTGCTTCAGGAGGTCTTGCTTGATCAAACCGTATTAGTCCCATTCCTTAATGAGCTTCCTCTTTCTGTAGCTTCCTTAGAGTCCTCTTGGTAGCTGTGCAGCTGTGCTCAGTCCTGCCTTGGAAAGACAGCATCCCTTCAGCACCCTGCTTCACCCTCTTGGCTTTTCTAAAAAGTAAACTCTGTGTGTGTGTGTGTGTGTGTGTGTGTGTGTGTGTGTGTGTGTGTGTGTTAATCCTCAAGTCTCCTTTTTACAAAATGTATGGTCACTTCTTCAGTGATGCTATCTTTCTTCTGGTCTACCAGGACAGTTCAAGGAAGGGATGAGAGATCGGTGTTTGAAGAACACCTATGGAGTGAGGAAGCACACTCCACCAAAATGATTCCCGATGACAGCAGGCAGGGGGGTGAAAGGCTATTGCTGGAAATCATCTCTAATTGAATGCACTCGTTTGTTTTTGTTTGTTTGAGATGGTGTTTTTGTTTGTTTGAGATGGTCACACTATGTAGCTCAGGCTGGTCTGCAACTCACTATGTAGACCAGGTTGGCCCTGTGGAGCACTTCCTGTCTCTGCCTCCAAAATACACCACCATGTCCAACTTACATTGTGGTTTTCCTAATACGCTCTTTCCCTTATACGGGTCTCTGTTTACTGCTTCAAGTCTAAACATTCTCTTATACTGTCAATTCTTCTGAGCTCCCTCTGATCCACTTTTTTGTTCATCTGCAGCCTGCCATCCCTCCCATTTTCCATTCCCACTCAACTCACCTCCCATCTTCAGCCACATGCTCACTCCACATTCCCGTCACAGCGCATTTGTTCCAACAAGCCGTCCCCAAAACACACTCATCCTTCTTCTCAGGCTGAATCAACTTGTCTCCCTCCTCACAAGTTTACCCACAGCTTTCACTGCTGAGTTCATGGCAGTGTGAGTTTAACTCTCAGGCCAGGGTGTAGCACGGTGGCAGAACATGCACTTTGCATGTGCTTAGTTCCTGGCACCAAAAAATAAATCAATAAATACAATTTCAGTGTTCTCTATAAGGGGTGGCTAATCATAGTGCTCACCAGAATAAACTCCTTGAGGACCAGGATTTGTCCCCAATGACAGAATTAAATGGAAGGGAACAATTTCTACCAATTCATTTAAATATTAGTCAGGAAGGAATTCAAAGTTGAAGGGTAGTAGAAGACAATTTAGCAGATGGCATCAGAAGAGGCAAGGGCAGGTTGGGGACTAAAGAATGTCACAGGATAAAAGACTACAGTCTCCTGTAGTCTTGACTGAGGCCAGTGTGCTGCCTCTCACACGGAGGCCTCCTTGGCTTCCTCAGATCAGAATCTAGCCCATTGTAAGGAGGAAGCACATCAGGCTAGAAGCAACCTAGAGGAATCTCAGCGGAAGATCGAGAACTGCCTTTTCCAGGACAAGCAGAAGGAAGATACCATCAAGAATCTGGAGAAGCAGGTGAAGAAGCTGCAGATGGAGTCTGTGGCAGCTGAAGAGGAACTAGCAAGCAACAGGTACCCAGATGGACCACAGGTTGGCAGCCGTGCAGAAATGGGACAGTGACATGGCAGGCCCTGGGGTGGGACTAGCTCCACAATCCATCAACACAGGCCCTAAAGCTCATCTTTTGGTCACCTTGCTGTAGGAAACAGATAGAGGACCTGACCTCAAGATTCAATGAGGGCCAGAGGAAGCTTGCAAATTCCGACAAGGAGAACATGCTTCTCCAAAAGACACTAGATGAGGATGAAAGAAGACTAAACAACTTGCTTGATAGTGCCAAATTTTCTGAGCAAAAGGTAAGAGAGCACGCAGACGGCCACCTCCACTATCTGTCCTGCATGAGGCTAAGCAAGTCAGTCTTTTTTTTTTCTTTTTTTTTTCTTTTCCCTTTTTTTTTATTATTAATTCAAGTTAGGGAACAGGCCTATTTCACATGTAAGTCCCCTCTCCCTCTCCCTCTCCCTCCCCTCACTCCCAACCCCACCTCCAACCTACCCCCCACCCCATCCACCCACCACTCCCCAGGCAGGATAAGGCCCCCAACAGGGGCTCCACAAAGTCCACCAAATCTTCTTGTGCTGGGCCTGGGTCCCTCCCCATGTGTTCAGAGACAGAGTGCATCCCTTCAAGTGGGATGGGCTCTCGAAGTCCCCCACATACACCAGGGCAAAAA